TCTTTTTTCACTTTATCAGACATATAACTAGTGCTGGGTTGTAAAATATCTGAAGCAAGAGTGTAAGCACAGACCGTTGTGCACACACACTTGAAACAAAACAAGTCAAGACACAAGTCTAGTCTAGCAAACAATGTGCACTAAGAACTGATATGCACACACATAACAGATGAAACAAGCCAAATAAAAGGATTGACATCCAGTGTGCACTCATAACTGTTGTGCACACACACAACTCATTAGTTTGACAAAAATAAATATTCTACAATTCTCATTAAAGAAATTTGTGATACCTAGTTTGATTCATTTAGTCACATACTTTATTATCAATTCTTATTGATTTAAATTACTTATAATTTTGATAACCACAAATATAAAAGTTTGAAGTAAAAATTTGAGAGAAGAAGAAGAATTTTTTTATTACAATTATATCCCCAATTAAACTTGAAAATAGGGGTTACAGACAAAAATGGTGGAGACTAAAAATCACTTTCTTATTTTTATCCCAAGATAAGTTGATTTTTTGTATATATCATGGATATTGATTAGAAGGTTTTTAATCCAACAATAGTTAGTTCATTATTTCTTTTATAGAATACTGAAAATCATGACATGATTATTCAAAATTGTAGATGATTAAACATTTTCTTAATTCATTCTCAAGTTGTAGAAACTCAGTTTGAAGATTCTTTGAATTTTCATGTTGGCGCCTTCTATAGGAAATCAATGCAAAAAGCGTGCTCATTCTCATTAGTTACAAAGAGTTTCGAGTTGCAAATTTTACAATTTATTTTCCATGATCTCACCTCCGTTTGTTTCCCAAAAATTTTTTTAATTCAATTATTAATTTATTAAGTATCCAATAATCTATTCAACTGGGTGCTCTGCCTAGAGATATAGTTAAATTAGAAGAATGCAAGTTGAAATTTTATGCTTCTGCAATCATGTGCCAAGGTTTTCATTCCCACATGCCAAATTTATCAACACGACATTAGAGTAAATGAATAACAGGAAAATTTACATTAATGTTGAGAATAAGAAGCTGAACATAAACAGGTTTAATAGAAGCTACCTCCCAGTAAAGTTGGCTCGGTGCAATCTACGCAATAACACTCTTCATGTCAAACAAGCTGTCAGCTATTCTTTGGCACCGCTCGCAGCTTCAATATCCTGATCGCTTGTCAGGAGTTTGGCATCAGCTAATCCTCATTAATACCCAATTTGAATGTTTCAGTTACCTACAAAACTTATTATGTTTTTAGCATCTAGATTCGGACTTTGACCTTGACACTCAAGGAAGCCTTCATATGGCTAAAAGGTCAAGCAATGACTTCAAAAAAAAATATGAAGCAAAGACAGTACCAAGCCGCTGTAGATGCAAAAGACTGGACAATATCACTACTTAAACCATCCCACTCAAAAAAAAAAAAAAAAAAAAAATCTTCTGTCAGAGGAATGGAGTGAATATGTAAGGCACCTTCAATATCACTTCGCTATTAATATCAATTTACAATAGATTAATGTCCAACTCTTCCAAATCAAACAAAAGATATTAAGAGAGCAGATAATCTTGCAGTCTGTTCTTTCTAAGAAATGATTCGATATTTGTAATTTCCAGGTATCTTTTTGAACAGGATATATTTGTTCACTGTTAAAACAGTCCAAGCTTGGATGCTACCAGTCATAACATAATATCTTAATAGCAATTTTCCTTGATAATGAGCAATATAAATAGGCTACAAGAATTGCTTCTTTTTTCTCATCATGTTCTTTTGATAAGCAAGCTTTATCAGATGAAGAAGATATTTAATTGAAAGCCTCAGCAGCACAATTCAAATATTTAAGTAAATACTATTATCATTGAGAAGAGTATAAATACAATTGCTACAACAGCTTCTTCAAGCAATAATGATTTGCGATTTTGGCTTTTGGGTTCAGATCCTAAGATTCTAATCAATCCATCTGACCCAGAACTGGCTACATTGATTGTAAAGGGTATATTCAAGGTTTTCTGAGTTGATTTAAAGTCTAGCTTAGGATTTAAGCCCCATTTTAATTTCCAAGAATTCATTCTTTCTGATAATTTAGACTGTTCAAACAATGTTCTGACAAAAATTCAAAATGGATGTCAGAAACTACTATCTCTTTTGAATAATACTGCACATACATCATTCTCATACAATATTATGTGACAAGATATGATTGGATGAAAGTTTAATTTTAACTTTAAATTAACCAATCATATCTTGCCACATAATGTTGTATGAAAAATGTTGTATGAAAATGATGTATGTGTAGTATTACTCATCTCTTTTCTATTTTTTAGATACTATAAACAAATCCTTGACCTTCTTTTAAGTGTAGATAGAATTTTAATCGGAGGGTTCCAACTTAGATAGCAAGCTCAATCCTTAAAATTGCGCAAAAACCCATTTTGGTTACTCACTCGTTATCCATCATTAATTGCTAAACAAATTGCTTTTCACAAGATTTGACACAATGTACCTGAAGTAGTTATTCATTTTTCAAGACTCTTCACCCCAGACATTTGACTCTTTATCAGATACAAACGCCTCCATGAAGTTGTACCTGATGTCAAAAGTACTCTCTTTTCTTTGGATGATTGATCTATCTACTCCCTAAACACAAAAGGAAATTGGTCATGAAATTAGATAAATACTTTTCACAGGCAGAAAACATAATCGAACATAGTAGCACTAACTACATAGTCACACACAATCACAATATCCATTGAAATTAAAAAGAGAACAACACCCAGATTGTGGCTTCTTCGATTTGGTATAGCAGCATCTATCCCAACATATTGTAAATGTTTTGCCAAGCCTTCAACCTGATTGATCTTTTATTAGCCTCATACTTACAGGAGAAAAAAACTGTATGAATTTTTACACTTTAGTATAAGCAACCTATATCTATTGAAGGGCATTCATCTCTTCCTAAAGACATATCCAACTGCTTTTTTTTACACACTACAACCCATGAGGACAGCATTTTGTCTTCAACTTTCGCTATTTTTGGTGTTTGGTCTGATTCTCTCAACAAAATATTTCCACCATACCTTCTTACTATCTTCAAGAGAGATTCCTAACTCCTCACTGACATGTTAAGAATATTAATAAGTAGTAGCTTGTTGTCTCAGACTATATCCAGTGCATCAAAAACTAATCCCAGCAGCAGGCTTCTCAAAATTTCTTTCAACCCAAGATCCACATCAGAAGGACATTGTTCAGAGATCTAGTTACAGGAATTCCTTGTCATAAGAACCAAAAACATGTTCAAACCAAGCCACACAATATTTAAGGCTTCAATAATATTAACCAACAGGAACTGGATTTAGAATAAAACTAAAACCGTTTACAGAGATATGTATGCTGCAGTTGTGAATACAAACGTATATTAATCAAAATAGGGTATGCTCCACTACAGAGCAGCAAAACAAGTATGCTCTGTCGACACTTGGTTAAAACTATGTAACTCATAATCAAACAAAATAGCAATAAGGTCGTCTCACCTTTCCGTTTGTAACTGAGAAGAGATCCCTTCATGCCTGAGGCCTCCAACACCTCCTCATCAATGATCCCATGGGGTTTTGCGTACACCAAGAAAGAGTAAAAGCCCTTCCTGTTAAGAAAGAAATGTTTAAGAACAGCAGGCCCCGTGGTTCAGAAATTCCTAAGAACAATAGCAACATTGAAGACAATAGTTGCCATTCATTTCTTCAATGAGACCACACAAGTGTGCTTTCTAAGCGGTAGCCACTTAAGAAATGATCTGTCCAGGTGAAGTAAATAAGCAAAACACACGAAAAATAGTCCTAAAAGTATGCTACTGATGGATTACTGGTAGAACTGATACTCAAGAGAGGAGAAATATTCTCTAGCGAAACTGAGGTAAAATAAAAGCAAAAAAAAAACATTTCTCAACATCATTTATTATTAAAATAAAAAACCCAGAAGATTTTTTGTTATTACTATTTTAACAAAATAATTATAGCACAACTTCATGACAATTAAGAAAAACTACATACGAAACTCACCACACAGACACAACTCTGAAATTGCATAGGGGCCAACATCATGTCAATTCCTCATGGATACACAACCTTTCTTCACCAATTGACTCACAATTCTCATGCTGACCATTTTCAGCACCATAAATGATGAGAAATCAGCCAAAATAAAGAGACCTTTAAAGGGGGGGGGGGGCGGGGCCGCGGGCGTATAACCACCCAAAAAAATCCTCGCACTACTGAGCAATATTTTCAACAAACAAATCAAAATACCCTTTCTTAACACCATCTTCATCACCACCATCTTATGTAGAAGAAAGCCCAAGAGATTGAGAGGGTCTAAAGATATGAAACAAGGGAAAATTTTATCATGCTTCTTACTAGAGAAATGTACTACTGTCTTTAATCAACTCACAACTTGAGAAAATCACTTTGTATCTTCTGCTAGAAAACAGAACATGTTTTATTTTCTTGCAATTCATTGTGCAGTGATAATGAGATTGATGAAATTAAATGCTCAACTTCTTTTGGCTCTAATTATTTCAACGAAAAGTAATGAAGAGCAAATCAAAACAGGCAATTGTTCAGGAAATTATTCCTGCATAAAGCAAGTAAATAATCTCATAGAATTTTCTTAAAGCTTAAATTTAGAACCCCGGGAAAAAATAATAATAATAATAATGACCCACGTCCACAAAAAGAATATTCGAAAAATTATAAGACTTGATTTATAATGAAAAGTGCAACCATCTAAAAGTCAAATTTACGATTTCAATTACATTTGAACAAAATAACATTAAAATTAGCATACACGATTAACAATGACAGATTAATCAAACTAAACAAGCAATAAGAGACTTGAGACAGGAAGCATATTGTTAAATTGCAATCAATATATAGACAGCAACTTTTGATGTTCCTATTTAAGGATCAGTTAACAAGAAATCCTTAAACTTATTATAGAAACAAAGAAAAAAAACAGAAGAACAATACATCAAATTACTAGATCAAGTCACTATTAAATGGTTACAATACAATTCAACAAAATCTTGTGGTTCAAAGTTCAAACCATTATGATAGCTATTTCTAAACCAACCCTAACCTAGACTACCCCCGATTAAGCATAAATTTTGGGTCGACGGAATCAATTTGCAAAGTTTCAAGAAGAATGCATCCCTAAGGACTTATCTGTGTGTCAAGAAAATTCCATCCCTAGTGAAATTGGTGCACAAGGCTGAAGAAAGAGAGAACCTCACTTTAAGCATTATATTTTGGAAGAAAAACACAAAAAGTTACAATCATAAGACATGCCTCCCATTAAATTGATTTAAAAAAGAAAAAACCCAATATAATTTAGGCTTCAATGCTGGCTACTCCATCATCCACTCCCTCTTCAAGCTCTTTGACTGCTCTTATAAGAGCTTGTGTGATCCCATTGAGATGCAAACCTTTCTCTTTCATCTCCTCTAATAGCTTCTCTGCTGTTTTCCAATCCACAGCCTTTAGACAAAGAGATTGGATTAACTTATTATACTCGTCAACATTAGGTTGGACACCAGCATCCTTCATCTCATTTAGCAATGTCAAAGCGTTGTCAAACTCTTCCAGTTTGCAATACCCACGAATGAGTGTGTGGTAAGTCACCGGGCTCAGCCTAGAATGCTTCTTTTTTGCTTCAGACAAGATTTCACAGGCCTCCTTCATCTGACCACCATTTGCATAACCACTCATAATAACCGTATAAGAATACACATCTGGTCTTAATCCCCTACTTTCCATCAAACTCATCATCTCCATTGCCTGTTGCATATCTCCAGCTTTGGAATAGCCATTGATAATTGAATTGAACACTGCATTTCCAGGAGCTGGACCCTCAGAAATCATCTTAGAAAGCAATGCTTTTGCTCCATCAACATTTTTCATCCTACATAGACTGTGAATAACAGATGAAAATGGCTTGATCGCATACTTCCGAGCCTCGCCTGAGAAATCATCTAGCATCCCCAAAGCTAAATTCACCGTTCCATCTTTCTGACAAAGGGAACTGATCAAGAAATTGACAGAAGACTGAGGCGGGTACTTGTTTTTCTCCTTTGCCAACATATAAACCAAATGTGCCTCCTTTGCCTTACTTCCTTTACAAAGCCAAGAAATAATCTTTCCAACTTTCTCGGTATCAGGCAAGCTCCCTGTATCAATCATTTTCTCACAAACAGACCAAGCCCAATCAAAAATAGAGCGCCTACAAAGAGCTTCAATAGTGAAATAATATGTCTCCTCATTTGCATCACATCCGAAATCCCCAAACTTGTTAAACACTTCGAAAGCCGCTTTTCCTTTTCCCAACTTGGATAACAAAGCTATCAATTCATTGAGACTCTCCACATTCAACAGACCATTCTCCTTCTCGCCAATCTCCTTAACCAAATCCCACAAAGCATAAGCATCTTTTTTCCTCATACTGCCACAGACAGCTCTCACAAGCACATCAACGACACTCGTTGTAACCTTAAAATCCGGCTGCTTCATAACCCACTTAAAAAACCCAATTAAATTCTCACCCAAAACTTGTGGGGTTTCAAGTACTTTAACCACAAACTCTTCATGTAAATCCAAATCAAAACTCTCAAGAGTCGACTCCACCGAATCATCAACACTACTCTGTAAAAGCGACAACACATTCTCCAATTTTTCCATGTCAATCTCCGGCTCCGCTTCGCCTTCCTCGGCAGAAAGATTATCCAACTGAATACCACCATTTTCACTAAAAAGCATCGAATTATCAATCTGGGTATCATCATTTTCATTATCAATCTGAGTATCATCATTTTCAACTATATCACTATTTTCAGTCGAAGGAGGATCCATCTGGGTGTATTCATTTTGGCTAAAACTAGGTGAAGAGAGGTCAGTCTCATTACCGGGGTCAGTTGCAGATAAGTGTGAAAAAGCCCTAGGGATTTGATAAAGAGAAGGTTTGGAAGAAGAATGAGGAAAAATTAGAGTAGATTGTACCTTCTTGGCAGCATGGAAGTTTCGTGGTACCTGGGTTGATCTTGCTGCTATTGATCTCCACATCTCTAAATCTCCTACTAAACCCTACAGGTACAGTGGCAATGTAATGAAAATAAAGAAGAGGAAGATGAAGATGTATGATATATGTAGTGGGTTAATTAGAGCCCATGAAACTGAAAGTTAGGCCCCGGGAGAGATAGTGTCCGTTTGGGCTGTAGGTCGGGTCGGTCTTGTCCGGATGGCCCAAAAAGTCATTGGTTAAAATAAAAAAGGCTCCGTTTGTCTCATTATTTCTACCCATATTCTCAATCATATTCCTAAAATACTTGTTTGCTTGTTATTTGAGAAATATTAGTATATTTTTTTAATCATTTTTAGACCCCTTAAGTTTATTAATTTCATTAAATACCCTCAGAAAAAAAAATTAAAAAATTAACAAAAATACCCCCACCCACTCATACTTACCAGATTCTGACAACCACCGTCGGTGGTAGCCGGAATCTATCAGAACAGCCTAAATTTCGACCAGAAATAGCTAAGTTCACCGATGTGGCCTTTTCTGGCCAGATTCACCACGGATCTGGCCGGAAAAGGCCAGATCTGGCCGTCAGCGACGACCAAAGAAATGGCCGTCGTTGCCCGAAAACGACGGCCACTCTTTGGCCATCGTTTGGCCTTTTCGGCCGTCGATGGCCATAACAGACCGTAGATCTGGCCTTTTCCGGCCAGATCCACCATGGATTGGGCCGGAAAGGCCATAACGACGTGTTACGGCACAGATCCGACCAGTCTGTGCCGTAACGAAATTTTCCGGCCAGATCCGGCGGTGGTGGCCGGAATCTGACACTGCAGGTGGTGGGTGTTTTTGTCATTTTATATGTTAGGGTCTTTAGTTAAATTAGTAAACCTAAGGGCTTTTCACAAATTTTTAAAATTTACCTCGTAATACTCCCCTATTCATAACCCAATACTATCCCCAAATCCTATCCAAAATACTAACCAAACGCACCCGTATTTTTTTTAATTAATTTTAGACCCTTTAAATTTTATTAATCATTAAATCCCCAAAAAAAAAAAAATTACAAAAACAACACCATACTTGCTAGATTCCGACAACTACCATCGGTGGTAATCGAAATCTATCACAAACAGCCTACAAACAATTAAAATTGGCCAATAATTCATTGATTTGGTCGAAAATATCAATTTGAGGCCAAAGAATAACCTTTGTTGACGATCAACGATACCATATTTTCAATTGGATTTAAAGGAGTGATGTTGTGGCCCATTCACTCTTATACAAATAGCCCTTATCTCTCATAATTTTGTATGCATTTCTTATGACTTTTACCAATAAATTTATTTTTTTCAATTTAATGCAACTTTCTTCTCCTCGAAATGATTAAAACAAAGCAATTTAACTAAAATTACTCATCAAACTGCAATCTAAACATCAATCTGTAAATTTAAAAATTACATAAAACAATATTTTTATGGTTTATATATAGATTTACTTAAAATATAAGATCAAATAAAATTAAAATAAAATCCAACAGATAAACTTCATATACTTAAACAGATTTTACATTGTCAGTACAACTAAGGATGAAATGATATTAAGCATCCAACAATCTTCACTCCAAAATATTTTTTTTTTTTCAAAGTCTATTTAATAATTTAATTAAGGATAAAATGTCATTAAGAAAAAAAAATAGTAATTGGGTTCTTATAAGATAAACAATGGAGCGCCAATACCATCACTCATTTTAAAATTCGCTTTAAATCCCATTTAATACCCAAAATACCCTTCAAATCTTAATATATTTTTTTCTTTACACCCTTTCTTCATTTAAATTTTAGAATCAAATATCAGTTTTAAATGGTGCGTAATATGGAACAATAAAGTATCATCCCTAGACATGATATTATTTACACATCCCTGGGCAAGACGTCGGGTTTTTTAGCCTCCCTCGTTTGGCCTTTTACCCTATTCAAACCTCTCCCCAACTAATACTTCCAATATCCCTAATGTTCTTTTTTGTTTAAGACTACGTTCTGTAGAAATCACTACACGGGGGAGGAAAGGGAAATAGTGGGTAGCACATGTCAGAAATCAGACCACTTGTGCTGACAAAGGCTCTACACTGAGACATTGAGGTAGATTTAGACGAGTGAATAATAAAATATAAGGGTTAGGGGTTAAATCGACGGGTGACTATCTAAAATGTAGAATGTCATTCCCAGAATTGGCCCCCCCCCCCCCCCCCCTTAAGGTTAAACTTGTCAACCCAACAAACTTTTACAAGTGGGTGCTACTCATAAAAGTAGGGGTTCGGTTCAGGTACCCTGCACTTTTGGAAGGAACTGAACCGGAACCGGAACCGACCGTTTCCTGGAAATTTGAACCAGAACAGGAATCGATGGGTCCGGTTCCTAGGTACCCAGAACCAGAACTTGTAACAACGGTTCCGGTTCCGGTTCTGGGTACCCTGTAAAATTATGTGACCCCCCAAAAGTTTTTAAAATGTTAAAAAAACCCTTAAAAACTTACAAATACCCTCCTACCTGGCACTTGTTAACAAAAATAAAATTACAAATTATAAATTCAAAATTACAAACTCCATTACTTTGTAAAGGTAGATTCTCAAAAGTAAAACCAACTAACTTTAAATGTTATGAAATATAAATATAAATGTATTTACATTACTTTTTCTACAAAAGTTTTTATTAATCCCCCTAATATTTAATTTTATTTTATATTAGTCTCGGTTCCTGGTTCTTGGTTCTAGTTCCGGTTCCTAACTATAGGAACCGGAACTGGAATCGCACAGCAACGGTTCCAAAAATTTGAAACCGGAACCTATCCATTGACGATTGGTTCTGGGTAGGAATCGGAACCAAACCCAGAGTACCCGTCGGTTTCGGTTCCAATCGGTTCTTTTGAACACCCATACATAAAATAGGTGGGAGCTAAAAATTACTTCCCTTTAAATAAATATATAATAAAATTAATGGGACTTAAATTAGACTAATGCTATTGGCCCGCATATTTGATCTCTTTAGACCCCATCACCCCAACAGTGGCGGACCTACGTGCATGCGCCCCCCCTAAAATTTGCAAACCTTAGGGTGTCCTTTCGTTTCTTAATTAATTACATTGTGCCCCCTGTAAAAACAGAAATTCACTTAATATTTTTTATTTTATTTTATGTCTTAAAATATTAAATATCTTACCCTTCAATTATTTATTTTAAAATCATACACTAATTTATCTTTTATTTTTCTATTTGATTGTATTAAACTATTATTATAGTTCAAATAAAATCTCACGAAAAAGCCTAATGGATTTATTCATAATCATAATTTAGTTTTCACTTTTGTTTCTTTATAATTATTATTTTATTTTTTTACCCTACACATGGAATAAATTATTGATATGTAAAAAGTTACTTGAAAAAAATATAAGCTTCATGTTTTTAGCATTAAGAATTTAAATATGATGTTTGAAGAATCAATGGCCTACCCAAGAGGGCAGGTGAATTCGGTGTTTAAAACAAATTCCAAAGTTTACATAAGATTACCCAATTTTTGTCTACTAAATGCTAAGTCAATTTTCATACAATCTGTGAAATACGAGCAAACATGAAAACAAGCAAATTAAAGAGAAGGGATAGAGAAATCAAGCACGTGATGTATAGTGATTCGACAAACCCGCCTACATCCACTTCTTCAAGAATCCTCTTTGAAGACTTCCACTATCACACTTAGTCTTCAACCAAGACTAAGATTTTCTTCATATAAGTTGGCTTCTAACATGCAACTAGACCTTCACACAATTGCTATACCAACACTTCAACTCAATTGACTTCAGGGTGTCAATTAAACCTCTCACAAACTTTAGAACTTACTTCTCTCACTCCATTCTTTTAAATATGAAAATGTTTTAACAGAAAAGTAGAAAACTCTCTCAAAGAGTAGATAAACAAGTGTTTAGCCCAAAAAACCCAATCTACAAAAATACAAGTGTAAAGTGTAGTAGTGGGTATGAGTTTGAAAGAGAAATAAACAAGTGAAAGCTATTGGATTTTGATTGAATCCTTTTGCTAAGATGTTATGCAAGTTTAAAGTGTCAAAAGTTGTTTAGGAAAGGGTTTGGTTGAGTTTATTCGGAGGGGCCCAAAAATATAATAGTTGTGCCTAAATTAGCACTTTCAAAAATGCAAAATTTGGTCAACCCCTTTGAATCCAGTTGGTCGGATGTGGGTGAAAGTGCAAGTTTTCAAACCTTTGAAAAATATTTTTACCCCAATACTTTAAATATGACAATTTGGCCCAAACTTAAAACCGAGAATCCTAATGTACAATCCGATTGACAAGTTGGGTTAAACTGCAGAGTATGAAAGCTTTGCAAATTTATTTGAAGCCCCTATGTTTGGAAAGAGACATTTTAATCCAAATCTGAAAACCCAAAAACAAGTTTTTGAAAGCTTTCATATGTTTATAAAAAATCTAGCTAAGGTTCATGCTTTACAAGTGAAATAAATACAAGGAAATCATATACTTAGACTAAGCTTATTGAAATCTTAAAGATTAGTCATCCTAGCTTGTCTTTTCCCTTCTTGAAAACCTTTTTCAATGCCTTGTCATCTAAGTACACACTTAACCAGAAGTTATTAGCTAACATGTTTAGGAATATATTAGTTTGTTATCATCAAAATACGAGCATGATGACTCCTTGAGTCGACATAAATAAATCGTACGAAATTTTTAAAAGTTATTAGCTAACATGATTAGGAACATAATAGTCATTGATTTATTGCAATATAACGGATATAAGATAGAAGTTGGAGGTGGTTATTTTTGTTGCCACTTCATCAACTTTAAACCATTGGATTATTAATGGATCAACGACCATGAATTTGTATTAACAATTTAAGTAAAAAAAGTTAAATTAAAATATAAGAAAGATAGTAATAAAAAAAAAATATGGGCTCCGTTTGGTTCATTATTCTGATAGTTTTTATAATAATTTTTTGAAAAAAGTTTAATTGGACAGATATTACGATGTAGGATTTGGAAATTAACAAAAATATCTCATATATTTGTTTATTTACTAAACACCTCTATAATAAAATATTAAAAGTTAACAAAAACACTCCCAACCCACCCATTAAATACGGACAGCCGGCCACCATCGCCAGAGGGTGGCCGGAGTGTTTTTGCAATTTCTAAAAAAAATATTTGGGGGTGTTTAGTTAAATTAACAAATTTATGAGGTTTAAAAGAAACTGAAAAATATAGAATAATATTTTGGGAATAGTGACATTTTACTGTTTAACTTTTTTGGGAATACTAATAATAATATTTCTAAAAGCAAAACAAACGAAGCCATGTATTTCCTTTCAAAGTCTATAAAAAAAAATAAGCGATACTATTTGCCCATGACATTTTATCTTTTTAATTCTATTTCCCCCCTCAAAATTTTCTAATTATCTAAATAAACCCCATATATTTTATATAGAATTTGATAACAATCACATTTTTCTTTTTATGAGATCTTGTCAAATTAGTTATAAGACAACTATCAGTCATTGAAAATTATTGTGATTAATCTGATTATGAAATGGAATATTGTTGAATTTGTCTTTTCTTTTTTAATAATTAAATATTGTTTTTCATTCAACAGTGTGTGTAATATTGGAAAAGTTTAACCTAAATATTGAAGTAGCAAAACAATTTAAGAATCTTTATATTATTGGCAAAGATAATAACAATTTTTTTTTTTTTGGCAATAAAAATATAACAAGGAAGCATTGAAAAATATTGATCTAGAAGAAGATTTTATGATTTGGAATGGAAATTATGGATTTTGTGATAATTACATATCTTGATTGTAATTATTAATTTTAATTTGTCTAAGTTAGTTGATGCTAATAAACTTAGCAAGTGCATTAAATTGCAGAAATAATACAGTGATAAGTAGAGTATCGTTCCACGAGAAAAGTAGCCTATTAAGTACCAAATTATGTAGTCTAAACACCAATTGAAGAACCGAATTTTTCAATGGTTGAACACTAAAAATATAAGCTAAGAACTAACAAACACTAAGAACAGAAAATCAATTAAAACTAAACTCCAAAAATCTGAACTGATTCAATAAGAAGAAAAGCACTAGAGCATCCGATTTCACCTAGTTATTCCGACACAACTTATGAATCCTCTTTACCTAACTCTATTTTCCTAACTAATGACCGAATTCTCTAAACTGCTTAGTACTCATTCTTAAGTTATATTGCCCCACCCTTTTCTATTAACCTTTCGAACCAAAATTTTAAGTTTAATAGTTCAACATTCATTACACTCCACAGAATTCTACTAAGGTCACACAGATCACATTTGCCTATATCTAGTTTTCATTCCATCTATGGTATTTATTACAAGAAGCTCACATCATAAATCACTTCTCAGTATCATTATGAACAACAAAACAATTGAATGCTGGTAAACCATTCAAAAGCATTAAACACAATAATAAACACTCAATCATGAAACTAGAATATAGAATTAATCAAATCACATAAATCAGATCTTTATAACATAGGCTCCATCATAGCCCTAGCAAAATAACTTAGTTCATGTTGTAGAAATTAACAAACATAATAGATTCTAAAAACATATTGAAAAACAAACAAGAAAATGAAATCTTCTCTATTGTGTTGATTGACTTGCTCTCTCAAGGTGTTGCTTCCAAGAATGAATTTTTCGAAGCCTAAAATCTTATTTTTCTTTCCTTCAGTTTATAGTCCCCATGATGAAAGACATGAAACTCTAGCAAAATTCCTCCATGTCAGCACAAATTCGTGTTAATTTTTTTTCTCCTATCATAATCGTGTCGCGACGGTCTTTTTTCACTGTCGCAGTAGTCTTTGTTTTGCCAAATTCCAAAAGCCTCTCTATAGCGAAAGGAACATTTCTTCCTTGCAACGTTGACTTTTCCAATGCCAATCAACTTTCCTTTTTATGCTCGAAACTTCTAGCCAAGTTTTCACCATATTCTCAAAAAAATTAGGCCAATTGGCAGCCAAGTCCAAAACATGAAAGTTGTAGTTCTGCTTCTTGGCTTTCCGTAACTTTTGGATTCAGATTATTTCGAATTGTAGAGCTCAAATTATGCTGTTTTAAACTACCATATGGACGACATGTTTAGGGATGTGATATAACAAGTAAATTGCATATCATAGCATTGCATTGCGTTGTTTTATATAATGCTATGCGAAATGTTGAATGATGTTTGGATAGTGATCAATGCCAAAAGTTAAAATGGTGGTCAAACTCCAGTCAACTATAGTTAAGCTCCAATCGTCGATCAAAATTGTTGATCAGTTACTACATATTTAAATTAATTGGCATTGTTTATTTGTTTAAAATAAATGTTCAATAAATTACATTAACTAATGCAATGGTTTTACTTGGCATTATTTAATATGGAGTATATTGCATTATTTAATGCTATACAATGTTTGATGTCAATATTGTATGCATTATTTAGTAATATACAGTGTCTCTAACGTTATGTTATATTGCCTGTCAAACATGTTCCATATGTTCTCGTCATTGCAGTGAATGCAAATGTATCTCTGTATTTGGTGGTTTAGTGTTTTTGGCTAATTAGGATAGTAGTTACCTTGATAAGTAGTAATAGAGTTCCATCGGGAGTTTTTTTAGCGGGCAAGAGAGAAAACTTGTTCATGTAAATCTAACTGTTGAAACAGGGGTCAGTGGTTTTTTAAGTCCTGCAGATCGTTTGATTGTTGGGAAGTTGAATCTTGAAGCTATGCTGCATGTTACCACTTAGATGAACATGACATCACAGCATCTTTAAAACAGGTCAGTGAGTAATATGTTAGCCTTTCTCTCTTCTCCTTATTAAGTTTTTTAAAATTCATTTAGAAGGTTATTGCTTTTACCTAGTAGGAAATTTAATTTAATGGGTTTCAAGGAAACAAATGGAGTACGCTCATCAGGTTCTCTTCAGAATCAGAAGTTTATAAGGTTGCTTGTACCTACTAGGAAATTTAATTCAATGGCTTTCAAGAAAATAAATGGAGATAGCTCATTAAGTTCCCTTTAGAATCAGAATAATGGAATATAGAGCTCTATCTGACGGTGCTAATTATCTTGTTCAAGGTATTATCAAGAATGTATACAAAGTATTGCATGAAAAACAAACTTTCTTTTCATAGGATTTAAAATTGTAAAAACTTTCTTTCCACTGATATTTCAATTTTCATGTGTACAACTGCAACTACCAGGGGCTGAACATTTCAAAATAACTTAAATGGTTAAATCGTTTTGCCCTCAAATTACACTAAGCCTTGTCTTTTGAACCTCAAATTTACTCATGAAACAAATAACCAAGAAAACTGCGTACTGAGTACTTAGTACATACCCCGGCTCGAGCTGCGGTCAGGGGACCTCTTGAAAGATGAGTGCAAGCCATCTATTTGAAAAAGAAATCAACAAATCATTATTGTAATGGTAGGCAACAAATCAGTCAACCAATGACATCATTTCATACTTGGACAACCGAAATACAACCTAAAATTGTTAATTCGAGACATGAGCATGACTTGGTGAACAATGTTTACTACCTTCAACTCATTCACTCAACTTGCAGACGTCGATGAACTTCTGAACTGCATTGTGGTACTGAGTTCCCTGTAATAATAACACATTACATGCAGGCTGATAAAGATATTGGCTACAAAAAGACTTTCTACTGTTGCAGACGTTAAACAATATAAGCTCTAACCAGTTTGAAGTGATTTCAGATATAATCGCCAAATAAGATAATGTACTTCAATTCATGTAAACAGTACAAATTTGGTATAACATAGACATCAGCTGAAGAACTCAACTATCCAGTATCCAATAATATATTCAAATGGTTTTTGCCCTGAAAAAAGTAAAATTGAGAATTGAAAGTGATCCTTAGTGAAAGTGCTGAAGTTGTATGCTTTAGCAATCCTGGGATATGGCCACTAAACCTACTAGATGATGAGACGAGGGAATTTCTCATTTGCTCAAAATAACACACTGCTGTAATGTTTAGAAAAATAATAGCACAATAGAGGGTTGTCTCCTACTAAAACCACCTACTTCGGATATTTATATCTCACAAGTTCCTAAATGCCAAGGTTGTAAGTTCCTCCCCAGTCCCAGTTTAGACCTCAGTGACTCATCAGAGAGGTCATCAGATTTTTTAATATTATATAATATAACACTCAATAGATATGGCATTGCATTATTTCTTTCCCACATAGCAAACTTATCAGCACGTTGCCACCTAGCCATATCTGAAAGCATGCCAATAAGAGAAAACTTTACATAAAATTTAACAATCAAATCAGTTTCTTCTAAGCTGATATCTGGTGTTTGACATAAAGGAGAGACAACCATTTGCAAAGAGAAATAAAACAGCCCCATATGACAACAGGTTAGAAGCTACCTCCCAGTAAAGTTGGTGGCAATCTATGCATTGCCAGAACTCTAAATTCTTGTCAAACAAGCAGTCAGGTATTCTCTGAAAACCCTTTGCAGCCTCAACAGCCTCTTCCATTGATAACGGTTTTTGAATAAACCTTCCATTACATTTAGTACACCTTGACATCAGCTGATCCTCGCTAATTTTCAATTGGAATGTTTCAATAACCTGCAAAAGTTGTTTAATTTCAGCCTCTAGATTTATATTTGAACTTGATGGTCCAGGAGGCATTTATATTGCAACACAGTAAAGCAATAAATTCCAAGCAATTTGATATATTATAAAGACAGTTTGTGCAAGGCATAGAACCATGGATGCAAAAGATAGGACAAAATCTCGGCTTGATGACCCAGTCAATATAAAAATCTTCTGAGGAAAGAATGAACAATAGGGTATCCTTTCCCAATCCATATCCCTTCACAATTATTGACAACTAACAGATAAATAAATAAAGACCATTTTCAAAATAAATAAAGGATATCAATCAATTGTTCTTTGATACTTTATCATATAGAAAAAAAGGTACTAATATATTTTCAACACACACATGCTAAAAATAAATAAGTAAATCAACAACGTGGTGACATTTGATCCAAGACCCTCTTGCACTCTGGAAAGAGATTTTAATCATCTAAGCTACAGCTAGTATCTAGAATTATCCTTAACACTAGACATCAAAAACATCTACACAATGACAGATCAAAGTTGGACGCCACATACAGCAGGAGTGCAAACTCTAATCCATCAACTGCCTGTTCTCTCTCTAAACAGATTTGATATTGGTTATCCAAGTTAAGTTCATCTTTGAAACAACAAAAGTTTGATTCTCTATGATAATGTAATCAATTAACATGGACATTTTCTTTGATTTTGAATAAGATACAGGAATTACGTCTTTTCTCGTCACATTTTCCTTTTTAGATAAGCTAGCAGATGAAAGTAGCATTTGAGCTCAAGCATGGAATATACCTTGACTTCATCAAGACTACTAATTAAAAAAAATAAAATTGAAAAGAAACGATAAGATCCAATTCCATGACGGAGACTGCTTTTAGTGATATGTCAATCCCCATCTATAAAATCTTTGGAATTTATAAACAATGACATCTCAAATTATATAATTCCAATATTCCAAGATATTAGAATTGTTTTACAATCTCCTGCACAAAAATAATATCGGGATTATCTGACCATAGAAATTCTATATAATGCACTCTCCAAGCGCTCAGGCAGAATAACCAAATATATTTTCCCCGTTTTTAGTTACATAAAAGATGGAGTTGCTAACTGCTAAGTTTCCAAAAGACCAGGTAAAAACAGATGCAAAGCATCACCATCTCCATTTCAAATATTTAAATGTAACTACTATTCTCACTGGGAAGCATACAAATATAATTGTTCACAACAGCTTATTTAAGCAATAATGATGCTGATTTTTGTTTTGGGTATATGCCCAAAGTTTCTAATCAACTTATTTGGATTATAGCTGGGCAGATGGATATTAAGTTAAACTCAAAGTCTAGCTTAGGATTCAAACCCCGCTATAAATTTTCAGGAATTGTTTCTTTCAGAAAATTTAGATTGGTAAACCATTTTCTATCTAACAGAATAAAAAATAACCTAACTCACATCATACTTTGATTTCACTTACAATTCTTAAAATTGAACCAAAAACCCTTCCCAATTACTTATCTATTCTATGGCCTGTGGTTACCTTCCACTGCAAAACATTTTATTTTAACCCATACAAAATGAATTCCCTTTCTTGTTGAAACATGGTTTCATGCATACCTCAAGTAGCTGTTCATTTTTCAAAAGGCTCTTCACCCTATATATCTGATTCTTTATCAGATACTGATGCCTCAATAGCTTGGCATCTCGCGTCAAAAGTACTCTCTTTTCTTTGGATGCTTGATCTATCAATTCCCTAAACAAGAAATTGGTCAAGAATTAAGATAAATACGTTTCACAGCAACACATAATTGTACATAGTAGCATGAACTGTGTTGCAACACACAGTCCCACATATCCATCAAAATTAAGATAGAGCAATACCTAGATTCTGGCTTTTTTGAATTTGGTATTGCAGCATCTATCCCCACACAACGTAAGTGTTTAGCCAAGCCTTCAACCTGATTAATGTTCTATTAGCCTCACTCTTGAAGGTTAAAAACATTATATAAATTTACATATCCCTTCAGTAAAAACTCTCAGCGGCTATTCCAGAATAATCTGGGCTGAAAGAGAAAGTATTATGGGACATTACAAGTATGAGCATTGGACAAGAAATTTTTCTTTCTTTATTGTTTTCTACTGTTTTCTTCTTGGTTTCGGTGGTGATGGTGGTGGGGGTGGGACTGAGGGCTTAGAAAGGTTGTAAAACAAGACTAAATGTATGAGATAATGCAAATATCAGACAATGTATTTACCATCACATCACATAGAAATTTAGGGCACCCATCACCTCCCAAAGACGAATCCCATGGTGGTGGACCTTGCCAATCACCAAAATTGTCCACCTGTTTTTCTTTCAATATCACAACCGCAGAGGACCGTCTTTTGCCTTTCTTTTTGGATGTTTTTGGTGCTCTGTCTGATTCTCTCAACACAAGTTTTTCACCATGCTTCCTTACTATCTTCAAGAAGAATTCATCCATAGGCATGGTAGTTCTGCATGATATTCTGGAAACTACACCCTCAGCTACATGCTGAGAATATTGAGAAGAAGCAGCAGCTCGAACTATGTCCAGAGCATCACAAACTCTTGTTCTAATGATTTTATTCCCAACTTCAGGCTTCTCAAGTATTTCTTTCAACCCGAGATCCACATCAAAAGAATGTAGTTCCACAATGTTGCCAGAAGAATTCCCCGTAATAAAACCTTAAAACATGTTCAAAACCAACTAATATGAAATTTTAAGTTCAAAAACATTAAACAACAAGAACAAACATTCAAGAAATTCAATGGATTTAGAATAGCAAGCATTCCAATGATAGAGATACACAGATATATTTTGTGCTTCACAAACATACTTGATTTGACTACAAAAAAGCACCAGAAATCTGGAGGTAAGTATTTAACTAAAATAAGAATTTGGCTCATAGGATGAAGAGACGGTCATCATATTGAAAGAACAGTACCATGATGTGGAAAAGCAAAAATGATCAATCAGTGCACCCAAAAACCAGTACCTAAACCAAACATCTAAATCAGCTAATCTTCATCATGAAACAAAGGATGCTGAATGGGGAGAATGCCAATCAACATACCAATGTATACAGTTACGATATTTTAAACACATTTCTCAAAGCTGATCCTGAAAGCCTGCTAATAATCAAATCCAATGGGCTCAAAAATATCAGGCAGAAGGTATGACATTTTTTGAAACAGCAGATACTTTAAAATGCTTCGTACCTAAGATAAGCCTGCGAATTTGAACTATTGAAAATTACAGAAAAGTGAAGCAGCAAAGTTTAATTCTACATCAGTTATATGGAGACACATGATGCATCTGTCCAAAGGGAAAACCACAGAATCATTTTCCAGCAACAAAATTGAAAGGAACACCAGCAAGAGCTCTCTAACACATTAGATAACTGGGCATAACAGGAAGTACTCTTCCAAGAAATTATATCAAGCAAACAACTAATTTGACAAGCAAGTTTCAGAGTACAATCAATTATTACATCAACTTACAGAGGTAATAAATTTGTCAAAATACATACTATATGAAAGATCCAAAATAAATTTCACAAATTTTAACATTCACGTATGAGGTATCATCAAGCAAACTAACCTTCCTGAGAAACCTTATCCCGAAAGCTATTAAATATTTCAAGCAAGCAGTGAGCATCTGTAGCAGCATAGGTTTTCTGCTCTTCTGTAAGTGGTCGACGTGACCAATCACTACATTGAAGTTCCTAAAGATTTATAAATAACATTATTTGACATGTTGAACAACAAATCCATAAGCAATCCTCCAAACCGCACAGACTAGATCCCTCTTAGTACTTGCAAATAGGCAAGAAAACTTGAAAATTTTGCCCAGTACAATAATGGATTAATAACTTCCAAAAGAAAAAAAATATCTAAAAAAATAAAAAATCATTGTTTGTCCGACATGGTTTTGCACCAGAGCCATGCCTCAATGGAAGTCTAATTACAGTTCATCTATGCTAACGGCCATCACTGGTCCATATTAATTTGTGGTTTTACTACCACGCAGACAAAATTCATGAGGGAAATAATTTTAACAAATCTGAATTTGTTTCAAACTAAATTCTGGAAGACTACAAATAAAGCAACGGTTTCTACACCTGAAGTAAGTAAATAACGTTTTAAAAGAAAGAGATCAAAAGATCGTGCAGGTCGTCACAAAGATTTCTAAGATAAATGATAGTTTGAAATCTTAAACCGCTACTGCTTTTGGAGCAGTCATTTCTTGCTTGATAAAATCCAAGGCATTTATTTCCTTTTAAATTTAAGAACCTTCAAATATACTAGCATTGTATATCGGCATCAACAAGTTATTCCATTTACAATCAATGGACATATACTCAGTATGACCATTGCACAAGTCTCATATGATAACCATAAATGCTTCAGTCACAGCAGTAGAGTGATTATAATAGTTACACTGAAATTCTTTATCATATTCCTTCATCCTGAATATAAATTGTTTCAAATAATACTTTTTTTTTTCTTTTTTTTTTGGGGGGGGGTTTTAAGTTAACCTTGAGAAACCTGCAATAAACCCATCCTTACATGCAGCTACTAATGATAATAGATGAAAATAACTAATGTATTCATAAAACAAAAGATCTCATGAATTTCAATTGTTTACATTAAGCTAGCATCTGACTGCATAAACTGAAAATCAGATAGCATGTTGAATTGCTCCCGAACCATACCTTCGAAAGAGAAATGCCTAATACTTCTTTGCAAATAGTTGCCAGACTCTTAGTTTCCCTTGGGAACTTCCTCCCATGTTGCTTATGTTGCAGATAGTTATATATGCTTGCGATGTCCAAATAGGGCTCTACCTATTCACAATTGCTTGGCAAACATAAGCATTTTTGTATTAGAAAATTCAGTCAACATGATCACCTAATATAGCAATAAAAAAATTGTAAATTATTAATGACAGTTCATAATTCAATAAAGAAAGCCATTCAACTATAACCAACTTACTGGAGTCCTGCAGTAAAAATAAAAAACGGCCAGCTACAATTTCCCGTTGCTATCTAAGTTTATGTCACAAGGCAGTAACAATAATGCTACGAACACAAATTAATCTCACCGAATTGTTGTACCGACTTACGTGGCCTCCAAGTCAGACGCGGCCACGTTGGACACTATAACACGTCTTCCGTGAATGAACGGCCGTCCAACAGTTATGGACGCTCATCCATATTTGATGGATGGTCACACATTACAAAAGGACGGCCATCCACCAATCTAGACAAATTATTGTACGAAAATACAATGGACTCCATCCATATTATATGGACGGGAGTCCATTTCCTATTGATGGACGCCCGTCCATAAATTTTTAAAAGAATAAGAATGGAAGCCCGTCCATATTATATGGACGGGCGTCCATTTTCATTTGTGAGAAACAATAAGAGTTAAGAACACACATGTGCACAAGCAAAGACCTTGAAATTAAGCAAAAAAATAATAATAATAATAAACAAATGAGAGGACCCTATCTTATTGGCCAAAAAATGATAAATTACTAGACAACCAGCTCTCACTTTGATCAAACAAAACTTGTCCCATAGAACACAGTACCAAAGTACACAATTTCAAACCAGAAACCAATGGATTTCCCAAGTACAACAAATTCAATGAGCAAACAAATACATAATCTACACTATACCAGAATTGCATTTACACCAGAAATTGTTTAGTATAACAGTAACATTGATGAAGATCTACAGATGTCATTGATATTGATTAACCATCACGTAATATCCTGAAAAAGGATTTTCCATATTCTATTCGTCCAACAGGTTATCTTCACTACTTTTTTACACGGCCAAGAAACTTCAGTTCAAACATACTTTTCCTATTTCCCAAACCAAAGAAGTTTAAGTTAAAGGTCCTGCCCACCCAGTAAGAGTAGCGAAAACAAATAGTCAACTATGAAACGCTAAAGCAACCACATCCATAAGCTAACCATGGAAAAAAGAGAAACAACAGCAAAAAAATTCTCTTTACCTATCAGGGCCTTGAAAAGCACTTTCTATGAACAAATAAAAGTCCCAGTAGTGTCTTCAAAATTATATTTCTGCATTAAATGAATGACAAAGGAGCTTTATCTCCCACAATACATCTTACACAATTTCTTATTTCATGGCTGAATAAACTACGAAAGATTTACTTGGCCACAACAAAAAAAAAACTAACAAAGGATGCTGAATGGGGAGAATGCCAATCAACATACCAATGTATACAGTTACGATATTTTAAACACATTTCTCAAAGCTGATCCTGAAAGCCTGCTAATAATCAAATCCAATGGGCTCAAAAATATCAGGCAAAAGGTCTGACACTTTTTTGAAACAGCAGATACTTTAAAATGCTTCGTACCTAAGATAAGCCCGCGAATTTGAACTATTGAAAATCACAGAAAAGTGAAGCAGCAAAGTTTTATTCTACATCAGTTATATGGAGACACATGATGCATCTGTCCAAAGGGAAAACCACAGAATCATTTTCCAGCAACAAAATTGAAAGGAACACCAGCAAGAGCTCTCTAACACATTAGATAACTGTGCATAACAGGAAGTACTCTTCCAAGAAATTATATCAAGCAAACAACTAATTTGACAAGCATGTTTCAGAGTACGATCAATTATTACATCAACTTACAGAGGTAATAAATTTGTCAAAATACATACTATATGAAAGATCCAAAATAAATTTCACAAATTTTAACATTCACGCATCAGGTATCATCAAGCAAACTAACCTTCCTGAGAAACCTTATCCCGAAAGCTATTAAATATTTCAAGCAAGCAGTGAGCATCTGTAGCAGCATAGGTTTTCTGCTCTTCTGTAAGTGGTCGACGTGACCAATCACTACATTGAAGTTCCTAAAGATTTATAAATAACATTATTTGACATGTTGAACAACAAATCCATAAGCAATCCTCCAAACCGCACAGACTAGATCCCTCTTAGTACTTGCAAATAGGCAAGAAAACTTGAAAATTTTGCCCAGTACAATAATGGATTAATAACTTCCAAAAGAAAAAAAATATCTAAAAAAATAAAAAATCATTGTTTGTCCGACATGGTTTTGCACCAGAGCCATGCCTCAATGGAAGTCTAATTACAGTTCATCTATGCTAACGGCCATCACTGGTCCATATTAATTTGTGGTTTTACTACCACGCAGACAAAATTCATGAGGGAAATAATTTTAACAAATCTGAATTTGTTTCAAACTAAATTCTGGAAGACTACAAATAAAGCAACGGTTTCTACACCTGAAGTAAGTAAATAACGTTTTAAAAGAAAGAGATCAAAAGATCGTGCAGGTCGTCACAAAGATTTCTAAGATAAATGATAGTTTGAAATCTTAAACCGCTACTGCTTTTGGAGCAGTCATTTCTTGCTTGATAAAATCCAAGGCATTTATTTCCTTTTAAATTTAAGAACCTTCAAATATACTAGCATTGTATATCGGCATCAACAAGTTATTCCATTTACAATCAATGGACATATACTCAGTATGACCATTGCACAAGTCTCATATGATAACCATAAATGCTTCAGTCACAGCAGTAGAGTGATTATAATAGTTACACTGAAATTCTTTATCATATTCCTTCATCCTGAATATAAATTGTTTCAAATAATACTTTTTTTTTTCTTTTTTTTTTGGGGGGGGGTTTTAAGTTAACCTTGAGAAACCTGCAATAAACCCATCCTTACATGCAGCTACTAATGATAATAGATGAAAATAACTAATGTATTCATAAAACAAAAGATCTCGTGAATTTCAATTGTTTACATTAAGCTAGCATCTGAATGCATAAACTGAAAATCAGATAGCATGTTGAATTGCTCCCGAACCATACCTTCGAAAGAGAAATGCCTAATACTTCTTTGCAAATAGTTGCCAGACTCTTGGTTTCCCTTGGTAACTTCCTCCCATGTTGCTTATGTTGCAGATAGTTATATATGCTTGCGATGTCCAAATAGGGCTCTACCTATTCACAATTGCTTGGCAAACATAAGCATTTTTGTATTAGAAAATTCAGTCAACATGATCACCTAATATAGCAATAAAAAAATTGTAAATTATTAATGACAGTTCATAATTCAATAAAGAAAGCCATTCAACTATAACCAACTTACTCGAGTCCTGCAATAAAAATAAAAAACGGCCAGCTACAATTTCCTGTTGCTATCTAAGTTTATGTCACAAGGCAGTAACAATAATGCTACAAACACCGATTAATCTCACCGAATTGTTGTACCGACTTATGTGGCATCCAAGTCAGACGCGGCCACGTTAGACACTATAACACGTCTTCCGTGAATGAACGGCCGTCCAACAGTTATGGACGCTCGTCCATATTTGATGGACGGTCGCACATTACAAAAGGACAGCCATCCACCAATCTAGACAAATTGTTGTACGAAAATATAATGGATACCGTCCATATTATATGGACGGGAGTCCATTTCCTACCTGTCCATAAATTTTTAAAAGAAAAGAATGGACGCTTGTCCATATTATATGGACGGGCGTCCATTTTCATTTGTGAGAAACAACAAGAGTTAAGAACACACGTGCGCACAAGCAAAGACCTTGAAATTAAGCAAAAAATAATAATAATAATAATAATAAACAAATGAGAGGACCCTATATTATTGGCAAAAAAATGATAAATTACTAGACAACCAGCTCTCACTTTGATCAAACAAAACTTGTCCCATAGAACACAGTACCAAAGTACACAATTTCAAACCAGAAACCAATGGATTTCCCAAGTACAACAAATTCAATGAGCAAACAAATACATAATCTACACTATACCAGAATTACATTTACACCAGAAATTGTTTAGTATAACAGTAACATTGATGAAGATCTACAGTTGCCATTGATATTGATTAACCATCACATAATACCCTGAGAAAGGATTTTCCATATTCCATTCGTCCAACAGGTTATCTTCACTACTTTTTTACATGGCCAAGAAACTTCAGTTCAAACATACTTTTCCTATTTCCTAAACCAAAGAAGTTTAAGTTAAAGGTCCTGCCCACCCAGTCAGAGTAACGAAAACAAATAGTCAACTATGAAACGCTAAAGCAACCACATCCATAAGCTAACCATGGAAAAAAGAGAACAATAGCAAAAAAATTCTCTTTACCTACCAAGGCCTTTAAGAGCACTTTCTATGAACAAATAAAGGTCCCAGTAGTGTCTTCAAAATTATATTTCTGCATTAAATGAATGACAAAGGAGCTTTATCTCCCACAATACATCTTACACAATTTCTTATTTCATGGCTGAATAAACTACAAAAGATATACTTACCCAAAAAAATAAACTACAAAAGATTTTATAAAGTGAAAAATCTCTGCAAGTGCCCATATATTATTTGGCATAATGACATTTTCTGACTTTTCATTTACAAAAAAGTTTTAGTTAGAAATCTGCTTTCCAAATAGTGTCAGGCCAACTCTAAGCTATATATAATATGAACGGGTGTCCATTCTTATTCTTTTAAAAATTTAGGACAGATGTCCCCTTGAGGTGGATGCCCATCCATAAGAAATGGACTCCCGTCCATATAATATGGACGGGAGTCCACTATTATTTTCATACAACAATTCATCCAGATTGGTGGACGGCTGTCCATTTGTAATGTGCGGCTGTCCATCAAATATGAACAAACGTCCACAATTGTTGGATGGTCATTCATTCACGAAAGACATATTATAGTGCCCAACGTAGCCGCATCTGACTCGGATGTCACGTAAGTCGGTACAACAATTCGGTGAGATTAATTGGTGTCCGTAGCATTATTGGGACAATAATCACTATCAAATTATTCAAGACATATACAACTGAAATTTCGTAATTCTTATACACCTACCAAGTAATTATAAAGAAATGAAAATCAACCAACACTACTTAAAATTTGGAACTGTATTCCCAAAATACATGCAGACATGTTCAAATTACAGCCATATGCAAGTCACACCTTTTAGCAAGCACCTCAATGGATACCTGAGGAACAAGATTGGATCACATAGCTTCCATTTAACAACTTGGAAGTTTTTAACAATTTATAGCTTCTCAAACTATGTATTATAAAAGAATCTCTAAATATCATTGAGGCCTTAAAAAATTTAGCAACTTCTTAACAAAAACAAAGACAAAAACTGCTAATCATCTTTCGTTCTTCCTTACTATTGAGTACCTCAACTTCCAAAGGAAATGCTCCATCAATCTAGGATGAAAACCAATACTTATTTAACCACAGACAACCCGTCTCTCATTGATATCTAAAGGAAAATTGACAAAAACCTTTTATTTGCTCATAAACATTTTAGCGAGAATATTTACTTAATGTGTTAGGATAATGTGACTTAATTTATTGACAGTCATTGTGAATCGTTCATATTGGTTGATTCAATGATGATAAAAGATGTTGAGTAGGCATTAATCAATATAAATGAACAGTTAACAAAGAATATCGAAAAATTAAGTCAAGAATTTATGTCCCAGTGTCCTTAAGCTTGAATAATACCTCAAAATTTAATTAATCCTAATAGCATTACAATTTTTTATTTTTTGTTACTCTTTTGATATGTCTGTTACTAAAAACATTTACTTCATCTTCAATTTTACAAATAATTAGCTACATAATACAAGTTTTATGTGCAAATATGATTATCAGTATTGAGATTAAAACAAAATTAATCCCCTTTAAGCTAAAATATGAATAACCCATTTCAGATAATTCATCAACAATCATTTCCCACAAAAAATAGACAAATAAATAAAGAGAAAAAGACTGTGATCAACAATTCAAAACTTACCCTATCAAACCGTGGTTCACATCCTTGAGAACAGAAAGTAGACGACAAGTAAATCAAATCTTGCTTAAATTTAAACCCTAATTTCAACACATCTGGCGAAACAAACACCTCTTTTAACAGTTCCAATATTGAAGATAGAGGAATTGAGGACAGGTCGAGTAAGAAAACTACTGTCTCGTTCAACTCGTCCGAGTCGGAACTGAGTCGGGGATCGAGTTGACAAGCGAGTTGGAGGAGTGAGACGGTGGGGAAATTGGGTTGGTGGGAACGAATGGGTTTCCACTCAGCGTCGAGTGCTATGAGATTGGACCGAGTTAGCGCCCGAGTTAAGTGAGTGAACTCGGGTAAGTCGGTTGATGAGACTAGGTAGATTCTGAGGGGCTTGTGGTAATTGGAATCCATTGAGAGATGCGCTGTAGAGAGATGCCGTTTTGCTTGATTTATTGTAGGATATTTTTGGGCCCGGCCCATCGTATTTTGGGCTGCGCAGAATCGTTAAACAGTCCACGACTACATTGTGCTTAGCTCAGCTGAATTTTGTTTTAAATTAAAATATAAGATTTTGTAATATACAGTATTTAACTATATCGTTATTTCACCTAAGAAATGGTAGCCATAGAACAAAGGGATCTAAGTGTCCATGATAGGAGTTATGCCTTCGGTGACAACAACTCACCAAAGAAAAAATAAGATAAATGTTGTAAGTAGATTTTTAACCATGATTAAAGTCCTTAGAAAAAATCTTTTATTTATTTATTTAAGAAAGCTTCTTGATTGGTTGTTACCAAAAAATTGATTAAGTCCAGGTAAAAGCCTACATTCTATGGGTTCACATTATGGTCGGTTATTGTCTTAAGGATATGAAAAAGTCCAAGTAAAACCCACCCCACCCCACCCTACCCTAACCAAATAAAACCCAACCCAAATGCAATTCTACCTCACCCAACTCGACCCCATTACTTAAAATAAAAACCCAATAACTAACCAACTAACCCAACCTAGCCCAAATTTTAAAATGAAAATCCAAAGAACAAGTTATTCAAACGATTAACGAACTTGTTTTGTTAATCGAATGATTTCGATCGATGATTCTGTGTTCGTTTGAGTTCGAACACGATTTTGAACAACCCATTATGCTTATCGAACGATTTTTGAATGGGGGTGTTCGTTCATGTTCGGTTCGTTTGCAACCCTAAGGTATCCTATAACCAACCCAAATAAAACGAGTCAAGATTGAGGACCCAATCTTAACCCCAATTCTAATTGGGTTGGGTTTGGGGCATCCCAAAGGGGTTGAACGCTGTAGAACCCAAACCCTTTTACCCACATTACCATCCTCAGATATTGAGCTTAATTATCATGTTCTTTCCTATGATTGATGTGCTTAATTCAGTTGTAGTTAATAGCACCTTTTCAAGCAAGTGCACTGTTGAAAATAATGCAATCATTTGATTCTTTTTTTCTTCGTATTTGATGCAAGAAGTTCTTGATGTTTCAAATGAAGTATCACAAGCTTTACTGAAGAAAGACCATGATATTGTGAATACTATGAAACTAATTAGTATATAAACAAGAACTACAGATTATGAAGGATGATAAATGAAATTCTTTACTTAGTCAAGTATTATCTTTTTGTGTCAATCATGTTATTGTTGTTGCCGACATGGATGATAAATTTTCAACTCTTGGGCAACCAAAGAGTAAAACAAAAGTGGTCTCAAACATATATCACTATCGCGTTGAGTTGCTTTATATATGGAATTTTAGATATGCATCTTGAAGAGCTAAACCGCCATTTCAACTGAGCAAATTCCGAGTTACTTCTTTGTTTGGCGTGTTCGTGTCCAGACAACTCATTTGCTGCTTTTAGTAAGCAAAAACTACTCCGCCTCGCTGAATTCTATCTCAAAGAATTTTCTGTAGTGGAGCTCATGGCGCTTGAGATTCAGCTTAATATTTACATATTAGATATGCGTTCTAACATTCAGTTTTCAGAATTGAAAAGGGTTGTTTAGGAAAAAAAATACCAGAAGATTAGAAAACGGGTTATTTAGGAAATAATTTAAAAATTAATTTTTAAATTGAATAAGATCAGAATAAAACAAAATTTGCTTATTTAATTAAACCCGAATCTCATGATCAGGATTGATATAATGCAATTTATTGAATACAATTAATCAGATGGAGATTAATTTTAATACTTGGGTTGGTGGCTCCCTCAATCGGATTCTGATTTTGAGTTTGCAAAACGATTCAAGCAGAAAATCGAGTAAATCGGTATCCACACAAAAACAGGATAAAAATCACAAACAAATTAATCGCTAGATTAATTAGTTTGCACTAAGAGAGAAAGAAGAAATTGAAAGAAAATATTTTTCTCTCTTTTTCAAAGTGCGGCTGGGGTTTGGATAAAACATCCCTCACTTAGAATAGGAATAATGCTAATCCTATTTGGAATAGCATTCAAATTAAATTTAATATAGATAAATATATATTTATATATTTATTCATTTATTTAATTTTGGTATTTTATCTATCTAAATATATTTAAATTTAATTAAGTATATCCCATATTAATATTAATTTTTTATATTAATATTAATATACTTATAATTTTGCAAAATTAATTTCAATATAAATATTGAATATAACGACCCCAACGAATTTAATCGCACATCAAAAAATTACCAAAATACCCATTTCATCCAAAAGACAAGATTACACTTCATTTCATTATCCTCTTTAAACTGCTTTTAATGCGTGTGACCCGTAGGCCCTTTATTATGTTGGAAGTGACCAGATTCATAATTAAGTATCAACTAATTAACCATCCGTACATCAATCAAGATTGACCTCTAGCAAGACATCATGATCACCTAACAAACAAGGATTCAGCAAAGTTGATACCTTTCAATAGTATGGTTATCACGCAATTCGAATCCCTTCATCATCAGTTATCTCATCAAAGTTTGAAGTACAAAAATAATGTCAACTTCAATCATATTACCTTGACACGTTTGCATTCAATCATCAAATCAATGACCAAATAAGATTGGATTTGAGCAACAACTCAATTCCACTGTGGCCACAATTTTGCGATCATTGCTATTTACCAAATAGTCCAGCGAGATAATTTCTCCTGTACCTAGGAGTGATGAATCCTTTGTCGATCCACTGTAGCCATAGTGTACTTCTCAATGTAACCAACCACTACTATACTGACAAGCCTATATAGGATTACGTTAGGCTAGTGTCAAACTACACCAATATTTACACACGACACTCTAGTGATCTCAAGTCTAAGGATCACATGCGTCACCATCCGTTAGAGGGTATATGCCATAAACACTAGGGTTACCATCTATATGGAATCCTCTGGTGGGTCAACCTATTGAACTTGCAAATAACAAGCACCTATGCGTTGCACCAGGTTGTCACCAAACAACCTTGACATGTGAGAAGTATCACTACCTTTCAGTAGGGTCGTTCAACACTATGATAGCCTTACCATATTAACTGTGCCCTTGGTAAGATTAATACTAAGGCTATGGACATTTCTAGAATAGCCACTACATATGATCATAGAGTCCTCGTAATCAATATTTAAAACACTTGATTCCCTCGTCATGGTTCAACCATTCTATGGACATATATCAATGCATTAATAAATAAAATGATATAGAAACTTATGCCTTTATTGATATTTAATATAATATTGCATTATTGGCTCTAGTGCACCTATCCTAACACTATTTTATTAAAAAATACAGACATACCCAATTAAACAAACCATAGGTCTAAGGCTCATATACTAGGCACCATCCATTTTCAAACAAGAATCATTGATGCATTCAAAACAAACAATTTTGAATTGGGTAGCTGAAATTAAAATTACCCTCTTGAATTGCAGAATTATTTATGGGTTCAGTGTTTTAAAAACATTGAACTTAAGTGCCATAGGGTGACAATGTGATATGCTCCAAACAACACCTATCACGCCACGACGTAGTTTTATTACGCCGTAGTGAATCGACGAAAACAGAGATGTGTCGCAACGAAGTTTTATTTCGCCGCGACATGTGCAAAGAATTTTCGTGCTCATGTCGCTCTCACAACGCGGCAGTAAAACCTACAATGCAGCATGCATAGGGTTTTTATTGCTGTTTCGACTTCAGAAACCTATTGCCACGTTGAATATTTATTTCGCTATAGCATGCAATAGTTTTTTAGGCTTCTTTGTTTCCACGAAGCTTGCCGCAAACACCAATTCACAAACACACCATTTTACGCGCAACAACGCAAAACCAAAACTAATCATGTGCAACGACGCGTGACCAGAACTGAAACACTAGCAACAACGCGTGTCCAACATTAATGTTTATGCTAAAACATCAATTTTAACATAAACGTTAATTCATATTCAAATTAAACCAACAAATATATTCATCAACAAATTCAATATCTTAATTAATCAAATTGATTGACCTAACCATGCAGTTCTATCAAAATTATAGATTATTAAACAATCAATTTTCATGCAAACATGTAATCAAACAAATCACATGTCAAAAGCCACGAAATTAATGAACGCTGTAGAACCCAAACCCTTTTACCCACATTACCATCCTCAGATATTGAGCTTAATTATGATGTTCTTTCCTTCCTATGATTGATGTGCTTAATTCAGTTGTAGTTAATAGCACCTTTTCAAGCAAGTGCATTGTTGAAAATAATGCAATCATTTGATTTTTTTTTTTTTTTTTCTTCGTATTTGATGCAAGAAGTTCTTGATGTTACAAATGAAGTATCACAAGCTTTACTGAAGAAAGACCATGATATTGTGAATACCGTGAAATTAATTAGTATATAAACGAGAACTACAAATTATGAAGGATGATAAATGAAATTCTTTACTTAGTCAAGTATTATCTTTTTGTGTCAATCATGGTATTGTTGTTGCCGACATGGATGATAAATTTTCAACTCTTGGGCAACCAAAGAGTAAAACAAAAGTGGTCTCAAACATATATCACTATCGCGTTGAGTTGCTTTATATATGGAATTTTAGATATGCATCTTGAAGAGCTAAACCGCCATTTCAACTGAGCAAATTCCGAGTTACTTCTTTGTTTGGCGTGTTCGTGTCCAGACAACTCATTTGCTGCTTTTGGTAAGCAAAAACTACTACGCCTCGCTGAATTCTATCTCAAAGAATTTTCTGTAGTGGAGCTCATGGCGCTTGATATTTACATATTAGATATGCGTTCTAACATTCAGTTTTCAGAATTGAAAAGGGTTGTTTAGGAAAAAAAATACCAGAAGATTAGAAAACGGGTTATTTAGGAAATAATTTAAAAATTAATTTTCAAATTGAATAAGAGCAGAATAAAACAAAATTTGTTTATTTAATTAAACCCGGATCTCATGATCAG